TATAATGGATACATGATAAAGAGGCTAAAGATTTTAAGACTAAAGTCTTAAAACAAGGAGCTTAAATCTTAGCCTTTTAATTTTATATCTAATACATTAGAATCTAATGGTATGCAATCACCATCCTTGTAAATGAAAATTATCCGATCAAAAACAAGTTTTAAAATAAATAACAGTTTTCACTCAATATAAAAGAGGACTAGTTACCTAAATTTACAAAGCCTTTCAGAACCCTCTTCATGCAGCCAATTCATCCCCTTGGTCTACGCCACATGCAGCTGATTCATCCCCTGGTCTACGCCAATTCCGATGAACGCTACCAGCAATCAACGCCATCATCGATCACCATTCCTCACCATAACAAACACCACAACCGCCCTTCCTCCTGGACTTCACCCACCGACTTACATATTCAATGTTAAACCGCATCGACTAATCTGGAAAGCCACTCAACGCCTCCTTATATTTGTTGTGTATACCGATTTGGTGCGTTTCGGTTTTGTTGCTGCAACTCATCACCTTCTTCTCTCTATTTGTTTTGATTTTGTATGATCCAACCACTACTGACGTCGGTTTTTGTATTTTCACTCTATTTATGTGTGTGTTTATGTCGATCCAGATTATTGGAGATAATATTGGAAACAAACCACCGCCATAAATATTTTCATATCTTAGACAAAGTTGTTGTAATTTACCTTAGATAGCTACGTGTCTTAATTTGTTTCCATTGTATTATTTATTGTATTTAGGGCGTGTTCGACAAAACTAGTTGTTAGCGGGTAACTTGTAGCGGGTAGCGGGTAGCTTGTAGCTTGTACGTTTTGTTAAATGCTACATGAAGTAGTATTTCGATTTGGAGCGTTTTGTTTAAACTAAATGCTAGAAGCTTGTAGTGTCAAACGAAACTTTCTGTTCAAAACGGAGCGTTTTGTCAAACGCTAGAAGCTAGAAGCTCTCAGACGCTCCCAAACGCTCCGTGCCAAACACGCCCTTATTCTCCAATCTCAAGAGTAAAATGAATGTGGTGAATTTTATCTCACTATAACATGGTATCAGGCTATCAGCCACACTTCGTTCCTTTTTCCCTTTCTTCTTCACATAAACCCTATTTCTCCATACCACAAATTTTTTTTCAGTGCGTACCTTGCTTTTTTGCATAACCCAAATTTTCGTTTCTATTTTGCACCACCAAAGGCCTCGTTTGAAACATGGCATAAACGCCTCGGCATGTTAATTTTGATGTCATTTCGGGTTTAAATAAACATGGATTGTTACATCTTACATCTATTTTACCTAGACCAACTATTTGTTCTTCTTGTGAACTATCACAACAATATCGTTTACCTTTTTCATTAAATGAAAAGCATTCATTACGTGTGCTTGATATGGTGCATTGCGACTTATGGGGACCCGCTCCCGTTGCTTCACATGATGGCTATAGATAATATGCCTTGTTCATTGATGATTACTCAAGGTTCATGTGGTTCTATCCTTTAAAAACCAAGTCGGTTTTTTTTGAGGTGCTTAAAAGTTTTTTGACTTTTGTCCAAACACAGTTTGATTGTAAACTAAAAGTGTTTCAAAGTGATGGAGGGACTGAGTTTTTAAACAATCACGTTCGTGATTTATTTCTTGCAAATGGAACTCATCATCAAATGTCTTGTCCATACACTCCAGAGCAAAATGGACGAGCGGAACGAAAACACCGACATTTAACCGAAACTGGTCTTGCTATGCTCTTTGGAGCTAATGCTCCTGTCACTTTTTGGGTTGACGCTTTCACTTCGGCTGCTCATGTTATAAATCATCTTCGCCCAAAATTATTACAAGACAAGTCTCCATATGAGCTTCTTTTTAATTTGATTCCAAATTTTAACAATTTTAAAATTTCGGTTGTCGTGTGTTTCCGTATTTGCGGCCGTATTCAGATCACAAACTTGCTCCAAGAAGTATTGAATGTATATTCATTGGCTATTGTACTCAATACAAAGGGTACAAGTGTTTGGATCAAAACACATTTTAGGTCTACATCACTTGGCACGCACGGTTTGATGAAGGGACTTTTCCATTTTCAAAAAGCACTTCCTCATTTGATATTTCTACACTTTTCTTAAGCTCCTATACTGATGCTATTACACAGCCCATCATTGAAAAATCCATTCCACCTAATAACCATAATACTCATATCTCATCTACCCATTGTCCTTGTGTGCATGAAATTACCTCTCCACCTCCCACTACTACAGATGATTTTTCATAAAATTCCCAGTCTTCATCTATCCCTTCCACAAAGCCCAAACCCTATACCTCCCTCACCACTATTTGACCCATCTTCTTCATCCTTAAGAGAGCCGACCTCACTAGTCACTTCTTCTGCGGCTACCACGTCTTCTTCTTTAGTCGGTCCATCTCATCCCATGGTTACTCGGGGAAAAGCAGGTATTGTAAAACCTAAGCATGTCTTTAATCTTCTTGTCGTTTCTCCGAATCCTCTACATGTTTTGCTCGCTACCAAAGAACCTAAAGGTTTAAATCAGCTTCAAAACACCAACATTGGTGTGATGCCATGGCCGACGAAATTAAGGCTCTTCACCTTAAGAATACATGGACACTAGTTCTACGTCCAACAAACGCAAATTTAGTGGGATCAAAGTGGGTATTTCGAACAAAGTATCATGAAAATGAAACGATTGACCGTCACAAAGCTCGGTTAGTGGCCCAAGGTTTCACTCAAATTCTCGGCTTTGATTTCTCGCACACTTTTAGTCCTGTTGTTAAAGCCACCACAGTCCGTGTTGTTCTATCTTTAGCCGTGACTAATCATTGGCATCTACACCAACTGGATGTTAAAAATGTGTTCCTAAATGGAGATCTTAGGGAAATAGTGTATATGGAGCAACCACCGGGCTATGTTGACTCTCGTAACCCCAACTATGTATTTCATCTCAACAAAGCTCTTTACCGTCTTAAACAAGCCCACGGGCTTGGTTTCAACGCTTAAGTAACTTTTTAGTGCACCACGGTTTTCAATGCAGTCAAGCCAACACCTCACTTTTTGTTTTCCATCGTGGCTCATGTCTCTTGTACTTATTAGTATATGTGGACGATATAATTCTAACCGGAAACCATGAGCACTCCATGTAAATTTTTGGGGTAACACAGCGAAATGTCATGGGTAGCACATGTAAAATTTTGGGGTAACACAGCGAAAAAATTTCACTACACCAAAAAAGATTTCCAAAAACTTCTATTTTGCCTGAAAATTTGAGGAGTATCACGGGCTACCCCGGGCACCTACATAGATCCTCCCTGCTACCGTTTCTCGTTCTAGTTGTGAGTCTGAATACCGGGCAATGGCTAGCACCGTCACTGAACTCATATGGATTACTCATCTATTACGTGATTTAAATGCCTTGCCATCTACCCGTCCCACCTTATTATGTGATAATTTGAGTGCCATTTTTCTTAGCCAAAATCCGGTAGCACATCGACGAGCCAAACACATTGATATTGATTATCACTTTGTGTGAGAACTTGTGTCCTCCAACAAACTGCATACCAAATTTGTTCCCACCAAGCTCCAAGTGGCTGACATTTTCACGAAACCTCTACCAAAACCTCTATTTGAATCATTTTGCGATCAGTTACGTGTTCGTCCGCCACCCGTTCGCTTGAGTGGGGGTATCGGAGATAATATTAGAAACAAACAACCGCCATAAATATTTTCATATTTAAGTCAAAGTTGTTGTAATTTACCTTAGATAGCTAGTGTCTTAATTTGTTTCCATTGTATTATTTATCGTATTTATTCTCCAATCTCAAGAGTAAAATGAACGTGGTGAATTTTATCTCACTATAACACATATCTGCAACCATCAACAGCATCCCCTCCCCTCCCCTTCCCCATCCCTCTCTATCATAAAAGCGTTAATCGAATCCTCACCTAGCTAAACACCACCATTAAACCACAACTGTTGCTTCCATCTAGGATTGGCGCTTGTGAAAGCTGGATTTTGTTTTGGTTTCTTTATTTAGATCAGGTTTTGAGGTACAACACTCATCCTTCTTATTTGAGGTAAACTACGCATGTCTACTTTGTTTTTTTTATTTATTTAAGATCATATGTTTGTAAGTTTAAGATCATATGTTTGTAGGTATTTGTGTATGTTTCTGCTTCAACCTAGATCTGATCTCTTTCCATTTGCAGTTTTTTAGATCCGACGACTTTTCAAGAGACTGACTCAATGTGTTTCTTAGATCTTTGGTGTTTATTTGGTTTGTTAGGAAAGAAGTTAGATTTTGTTGATTTTTCTTATAACCTACTCCATATTTGTATAAGCTTTTAAAATGTTACCCCGTCTCCACCTTTGTAACATATTTGATATTTCAATGATTTCTGGACAGGTTTTGCATTTATCTAATAGTTGTTTATTGAATTTTTCTTTTCAGGTTTAAAGATTGTGGCTTGACTTTTGCATTTGTATTTGATTTAGAAAACTTTGTGTTTGTATTTGTATTTGTTTGTGCAATTAAGTTTAAAGGTTTGGTTCGCGTTTTTTATTTGTATTGTTTGTCTGTAATGTTTTCTTAGAATGGAAATGAGCAAAACTTTATGGTGTAAAAAGTAAATTAGTTCAAGATTGATTTAAATGATTTTACTGGGATTAAAATTCACCCTTTGGTTTCATTTATTATGAGGCTGTTTGATGATGCTTTTGGGCGATGATGTGCAATATTAAGTTTAATTATGCTAATTAAACAATCAAGACTTTAATAAACTTTTAAAAGGGTATCTTTGAAAAAAAAAATCATGTTTTGAGTGGTTGCTGGTTTTGGAACAATTTGATGGAGATGTATTTTGAAAAAAAAATAGATGTTAAGGTTTATATGTGTAAGAATGTATGATTTCTAACACATGTAAATAAAATTTCCTTAACTATAATTAAAATAAGTCATACACTAGAGTTAGAGTTATACATTATAAATAAAGGAAATTTTGATGATGATTTCTTTGAATAATGAGAGTTAGAAATTTAAAGTTTATTGTATACTGAAATGTGAGGATTTTTATTTTTTATGGTAGTGGTTGTCTGGTTGATAAGTTTGACCAATGAACAGTGAGTGGAGTAAAACCAATACCACTTTAGTTATAGTATAGATAATTTTTTGAGAAAATTGTAAATTTAGTCAAATACACTAATTACTTTGTGAAAAATAACAAAAAAAACCAAAATTGTATTTTTAGCCACTAAAA